GTGCTGTCTATTTCTTCTGATCATCCTTGAGATGGTTCTACACCTTCATTTGAGTCCATCTGTGTTTGATTATACTGATTGGACTTGATTTGGAAAGCCACACACCTGTCTATATAAGACCTTACTGCTCACAGTGCATGTCAGAGCAAATGAGAATCATGAGGTCAAAGGAACTGCCTGAAGAGCTCAGAGACAGAATTGTGGCAAGGCACAGATCTGGCCAAGGTTACAAAAAAATTTCTGCTGCACTTAAGGTTCCCAAGAGCACAGTGGCCTCCATTCCTTAAATGGAAGACGTTTGGGATGACCAGAACCCTTCCTAGAGCTGGCTGTCCGGCCAAACTGAGCTATCGGGGGCGAAGAGCCTTGGTGAGAGAGGTAAAGAAGAACCCAAAGATCACTGTGGCTGAGCTCCAGAGATGCAGTCGGGAGATGGGAGAAAGTTGTAGAAAGTCAACCATCACTGCAGCCCTCCACCAGTCGGGGCTTTATGGCAGAGTGGCCCGACGGAAGCCTCTCCTCAGTGCAAGACACATGAAAGCCTGCATGGAGTTTGCTAAAAAACACCTGAATAAGATTCTCTGGTCTGATGAGACCCAGATAGAACTTTTTGGCCTTAATTCTAAGCGGTATGTGTGGAGAAAACCAGGCACTGCTCATCACCTGTCCAATACAGTCCCAACAGTGAAGCATGGTGGTGGCAGCATCATGCTGTGGGGGTGTTTTTCAGCTGCAGGGACAGGACGACTGGTTGCAATCGAGGGAAAGATGAATGCGGCCAAGTACAGGGTTATCCTGGACGAAAACTTTCTCCAGAGTGCTCAGGACCTCAGACTGGGCCGAAGGTTTATCTTCCAACAAGACAATGACCCTAAGCACACCGCTAAAATAACGAAGGAGTGGCTTCACAACAACTCTGTGACTGTTCTTGAATGGCCCAGCCAGAGCCCTGACTTAAACCCAATTGAGCATCTCTGGAGAGACCTAAAAATGGCTGTCCACCAACGTTTACTATCCAACCTGACAGAACTGGAGAGGCTCTGCAAGGAGGAATGGCAGAGGATTCCCAAATCCAGGTGTGAAAAACTTGTTGCCTCTTTCCCAAAAAGACTCATGGCTGTATTCGATCAAAAGGGTGCTTCTACTAAATACTGAGCAAAGGGTCTGAATACTTAGGACCATGTGATATTTCAGTTTTTCTTTTTTAATAAATCTGCAAAAATGTCAACAATTCTGTGTTTTTCTGTCAATATGGGGTGCTGTGTGTACATTAATGAGGAAAAAAAATTAACTTAAATTATTTTAGCAAATGGCTGCAATATAACAAAGAGTGAAAAATTTAAGGGGGTCTGAATACTTTCCGTACCCACTGTATATATATATTACATTTTAAAAGCATTTTTACATTTATAAAGCCATTTTTTCTTAAAGTGTGCCTCATCTTTTTGAGTCAAATTATTGCATATAAATTGTCAATTAGAATAATGACATTTGGGCTGTTACCAAACAAATGGTATAAATATCAACAAAATTAATCTTTACTATGCAGAGGAAACAAGTTGCATCTGAAGTGACATTTAGATGTCACACTGTTTAATGCAGCTCAGAGGGACATGGGATGCTTTAACCTGCAGTTACAAATGCATAGATAATGTTTTGATATTGTAAACAAAAAACGTCGAATACTGACATTTGAAATTATTGAAAAAATATAAATGTGAAATTTAAACCACCAGTAGATGGCAGCAAGTCACTGTTAGAGTCATTGTGATTGAACCAAATCATTTAAAGGTTGATTCATTCAGTAACGAAACACCGTCATGTTTTTGTTTATTGAACTGTATATTAATATCACATAATTTTAACATCACATTTGAAATCATGTTGATTTTTGGAGAAAAGAAACGACAATGATATATAAATGATATTTATATAAACTATATAAAATTATATA